GTAGCTGAAAGATTTGAAAGAGTCGTCTCCTGTAACAAATTGATAAGCATACAAATTCAAAACAACATTTATACATGTATGCATCTCAAATTGGGACAAAGACAGAAATGCACAGATCGTTTATCAAGACACAACCTTGATCTTTAAATAACACTTATGAACGTGCTGATGTGTTTATTGTAGATTCATAATTTACTCAAATGCATTTCATCATGAAACTGTTGTAAACATTACTTGTACTGACAACAAATAAATAAGACAGAAGCCTTAAGGTAAACCACAATAAACGATGATTTCATTCATGTGTAAAATGTAAATTTAAACTATGCAATGATCATGTTTCAGTTTATATGAATTCTTAAAATAATTGTATATGATATGTAATTTGAAATTCTTTACCTTAATTGATGTTTCGTGATTGTTATGATGGAGTTGACAGCTGAACATTCGTTGGAGTATTTGGAAACTGGCTCCAGATTATTTTTGAAAAGAGTAAAGAAACCAATAAACCAAATCTGTTGAATGTTACAATATTTTCTTATAGTTGTTATTGTTTTTATTATTTTTCACAATGTCTATACAAATCACAAATTAACGAGATGAGCTATCAGCCTAAAGTTTAGCCAAACTGAAATCGAAATTTACAAGTTTAAATCATATTACACGACAATAAAACAGAATGTCCATACATATCGCAAATGGGTTGAGACAAAAACACGTGTATTGTCTTTGGCTTACTTTTCTTTAATCTTCCTATGATTTTCTTTCACTGTATTGCTATTGCCCTGGAAGATTCAATGATTTACATACATTGTAGTTAAGTACACGTGAAAAGTCATTTCCAAGTAGCTGGCATACAGCGTTGAGATTTCAAACGATTCCAGTCCTCATTTGTTTCGAAATATTTAGTAGCTTATTTCAAACCACGAGATTGTAGACCGTGTGGATATGTCTTCCGAAGTGTCAGAAGTTCTTTCTAGAAAACAAATGTGACAACTTCTTGTATTTGAAGTTTGTTATCTGCAAGAAAGACGTTTATATCGTGGCATACCATGTCTGAAAGATTTATTTCAGAACTGAATTCTACTTTTTTTTATATAGATGATAGGCACTTATAAACAATTACACGAAGCGTGGTTGTTCAAAAGGAGGCATTTTTCAGTACAACAGCGCAACACTTAGATATTGGTTGGACTGCGTTCATCACTCTTGCTTTACAAACATTCCGCGCAATGGACATCGTAAAGTTGTCAAACTGTCCAGATTTAAAATTGAGCAAAATTCTCTTATTTTGAGAGGGAAAATTTTTCTAAAACTTCATTAACAAGAATCGGTCGATATATGATATGCGACCCTTTTACATTATTATCAGACCAGAAAAAAATCGGTTTATTTGTTAACTAGCAAGAAGAAATTTAATACCAAACCTTAGGTTTAATATTATGTAAACCTATATTCATGTGTAAGTAATAAGCAGTGATTTATGTCGAAGTTTTTATGCTATCGTTTTTGTTTAGAAAAAAGATTGATACGAAACTAAAGAAAGCAACACTGATACATAAGATATTGAAAATTTAATGAAAACAAACAACAAATATGCCTGTAGCTATTTATGTAGATTTTCAATAGCTATGATACTTGGGAATACATAATACTTTCACCAAACTAACCTGAAGTAATTTGACAAAATAACCTTTACAGCGATATAAATCTTTGTTTGAAGTTTATATTAAAGAGAAAATAATTAAACACAATTTTGTATACATGTGTACATGCAAACGGATATATCTTTATATGATTGAAAATAAGATAAACATATTTATCCTGTTGCCATATCTTTCCCTTTAAAAAAAATATCGTAAAAGGAATGTTCATATTAATCAGAGTAAGATCTACTGGATCAAAGTCTGATATAAACGAAATTATTGTTTTATACGCAATCATTACCAAGACACTCACATACTCAACATTGTTCAACTAAATATTCAAACTCTTATTCAGAACAAGAAAATGAAATAGTAATTTAAACAACCAAGATGATCCAAACAAACAAATGTTTAGTTCTTTGCAAAAAGATACTTACCAATGCAAAATGTACATCAATAACGTTTCAAACGGTAAGCAAATGTGAAAGGGACAATTTGGAATTGATCTCAATCAACTAATAGCATGTACATTTTATTAAGTAAGAACAACATTTTACATTTATTAAGAAATAATTCTACTTGTTCATTATAAAAAATTAGGTTGTGCGGGCTTTGGTCATATTATATCGATCAAACTGGTGTATCAATCGGAAAACAAACGATCGTCCATTATCAACAACTATGAAATTAGAAATGGCATGATGCCAATGAGATAACCATCAACCAAGAACAACTGACAAGAATGTAAACAACTACAAGTCACCATGCGACCTTGAACAATGAGCAAAACCACTACCGTATAGAGAGCTATTACACGTCTAAGGATAGTATAATGTGAAACAATTCAAAAGAGAATGCCAGCCAGCTGATTTCATCTTCATTGTATTAACCTTTAACAGATAGCAACCAACTACAACTACTGAACTACAGACGCAGACTTTGAACAAGTACATAAAGAATGTGGCTGATAAAAGATGAGGTATGATTAACGATGAGATAACTCTCCACCAGAGACCAAATCACGTAGAAGTTTACAACTATAGGTCACTGTACAGCCTTCAACAATGAGCAAAACATATACTGCATAGTAAGCTATAAAAGGCCCCGAAATGAAAAATGTAAAACAAGAAAACAAGTAAAACTAACGGGCTGATTTAAGTACAAAACAATAAACAAAAACTAATATGATAAATAGAAACAAACGACAACCACTGAGTACAGTCTCCTGACTTGGAACAGGCACATACAGAATGCTGGTACCAAACCCTTCCCTTAACCCGGTGGTGTAACAGTACAACATACGAAAAACTATAAAAATCAGTTGAAAAGGGCTGACACATCATATAGACCATAAGCACAAAAAGAACTAACAGTATGATAAAAGACCCAACGTGTCGATCTAAGAGCAATCGTAGTTACTGAAAGCTAAATCAAAGTCCAATATCTTACTAAATAGGTTGACCATCTTTTCCCTGACTAAAATAATACCCATGATTCAACAACAAGAAAGACAAAATAAGTGACATTTCAACGCTTTAAAGTATTAACTTTAACCAAGATTTATATATCTGAAAATTTATTTTGTCAAATAACTTCAGATTAACAAGTTTGTTTCGTGTCTTAACTTTCATATAGAAATTGACAGTGATCGAGGGTCAGATGTATAAAAACTTTACGAAAAATGAGATGATATCAATTTTCACATTGTGAGCTTTTCGTTTTAATATGGCATCATTTGAGCAGGAACTGCATGTGAGTATATATCTCCCAGTTGATACGATATTCCAGGACTTGCTATCCTTGATTGCCTTGATAGAGGATTGTCGCCTATAATGAGGATTTTAGGAAACACATCTTTCGATGGCAAGTTGAAGTCGTCTATTCAAAAGTTTTCGGACGCCATCATGATTTTATAGACCTTTTTGGAATGTCTTTTCACAGATGATCTTGGATATTTTCCACTTGCAGCCACACTCATATATTCTCTTCGTCGATTTTGACATCAACGAACGTCACTTATCACTGGATATATAATTGCTAAGGGCATCATGACAAGTGTCACCAGTAGAGCCGGGACTGCGTTCATTTCCAAAGCATATTATTTCACACATGGAGATTTTTTATGAGGTTCGTATTGCTCAATCTGTACGTCTCTGTGATGTTCTTTGTAGGCTTTTCTTTGCCTGTTCGTCTATTTTCTTTCGATCATGATTTTGTCTATTTGTTTTCTCGACTTATGGTTTTTTTATGGATCCTTAGTATCTTTTATACCTTTTTCAAATGTTTGTGTCTGAAATATAAACTCAGAATTTATAATTTCCTCCATATGCCAGTGTTCTGAAACGATCACAGATAAACAAGAATATATATATATATATATATTGTTTAAATGCTTTTAAAGTAGCTATTATATCAATCCACACTCAAGAATGTTATCGGAAGTCTTAAAAATACTTATGCGGTTGGAGAGATGAGAACATTCATTTGAACATTTCCAATGTGCATTTATTAGAGAAATTCTTTAAATCTAAAATTTGGCATCTTGGTTTAGTGGTCCTTTTTTTTTTTAAAGTTCTTTAGCACAAACAACAGTAAGCGTACAGTTTCTGAAGGTCTTCTTGGTTAACGTTATCTTTATTCTATTTATACTAACACTATTGATAGTGTGACATAAATGTTGCCAAACTGAACTTGATTTTAATCTACTGCCCAAATAAACGATCTTCACGTAATCATTGATATGAAAACAATAAATTCACTGAATATTAAACAGTTAACATGGATGAGCGTCAAAAATTGTTAACAAAAGATGCAAGAAGTAGCTGGTTTGATGTTCGTACTAAATTGTGTATATTTGTAATGTTGCATGGATGTGCAATGGAAATCCAAAGCGTTACAGAAACACAATATGTGTATTCATATTTAAAGAAACACACAAATAAAAACATTACCTACAAATCCACGTCAAAAAATTTAACCGAACAGAACTGTCCAGGAAATACGACTGGAGAAAATGATGACTATATACAAAGTTTAGCATCCGACTGGACGTGGTACATCCAACTGGTGACATATGGTATATGTCTACCAGTACTGATAATAGCAGGTCCATTGTCCGACCTTAAAGGAGCAAAAAATGTGTTAATGTATAATTTAATTATCACAATTTTATCATATGCTGCTAGAGCCTACGCAATATATGAAGATTTAAATCTTTACTGGTATGTAGGATTCAGTGCAGTGGAGGGTATTTCTGGATGTCACTATGTATACCATCTAACTTGTAGTGCGGTTCTTACAAACTGTACAAAACCAAACAAAGAACGGCCATTTGTATTGGCTGTTTATGACGCCATGATGGGGATAGGAATGAGTATCTCACAGATTGGAGTAGGATATGTTATCAAATTTTCAGGATATACATATCCTTATCTTGTAGCAATTGGATGTCTGTGTCTTGTACTTGTACTTATTATATTAACACTCGAAGACAACATCAACAAGAAAACTGTCGACGTATTATCACTTCCAAAAAATCTCTGCGTTCTTTTTTCCAACCAAAATGCATTAGTGAGTAACAATATTAAGTATTTATGTGTATATTATACCATATACTTTTTCCATCTTCTGCCACTTTCAGCAAACAGTACAATTCGACTGTTGTATATCTTAGGACCTCCATTTTGTTGGTCTTCTGTTCATATCGGATGGTTTAGTGCAGCACTTGCCTCTGGTGAACTAGTGATTGGGACATTTATTCTAAAAGGTCTGCTATCTTGCTTTAGAGGTTACGTAATCGCAGTGTTTGGATATACGTCTACATTGGCAAGTTTTGTGTTTTACGGATTTTCTACAACTAACTGGATGATATATTGCGGTGAGTTGTATTTACTGTCAAAACAGCTGAGTCATTGTTTGACTTACATTTTACAGTATTTTAGTCATTTCGAATATTAAATATAGCGCATGTTTCAGTTTTTAACAAATAAGAATTAATCGAAAGTTAATAACACTAAATGGTATTTAGATATTTATGGGTTACTTTAGTTTTCTATTTTCAAGTTAAAATAAAAAAAAGTGTCACGGTATTAGACGAAGAGACATCAAAACAATGAAAAAGTTCTATCAAAATGTGTATTTCGGGACAAGTGGTTTGAAATCATTTAAAATTTCTGAAATGGCAACCGGTGTTATATAAAAGGCAAAACAATTTGAAAAATGAAAAAAATTTAAAACTTAATGAAGCTTACAGAAAAATTACTAGTCAGGCTATAAATAAATCAAACTTACACTACTGAAGATTTTCCGTCAATACTAAAAAGGGGAAAAAACCTTCAAGAAATAAACAAATACAACCAGTGACAAGTTTCCTGACCTCGTACAGACACACTAACATATTTCAGGGCTTAATATCGATTTTGAATACTCAACCGTCCATATTTTCTCGTTCAGTAGAATAAAAAAAAAGGTGCATAAAAGATTTGTTCAGATGAAATAAAACTAAGGTACAACAAAGTAATACCGGTACCGTATCAGAGAATACTTGCAGTTACTGAAAGCAAAGGACTATAATGACTTAAAAGAAAAAATGTGAGGAATTTGTGTTTATTTTTGTATTTGTTCCACTTAATTTATTAGGTGCACATCTTTGGGTTAAAGTTGGGCTCTAGTTTTCATACAAATAGTAATTAACTTATATCTTAAGATTTTAATAAAGTTATATTTTTGACGATACATGTAGTTTTTCATATGTATATCAGTAGGTGTGAGTGTACCTAAAGGTATGAACTACAGCATCATGTGTTACAGTAGTTGTTTACTGATATAAACATGTGCTTATTTATCAAAATAGAATTATTACAATTCACAATGATATACAGAAAATAATCTATAATACACACTTTATATGTTATCTTTCCTACACAAATACATTTTGAGTAAATTGAACGTACTGATTACAAAATATATACATACCAAATAAAAATGTCGTCCTGAAGATGCATGATATATTTGGCACTGGATTTCAACCACGACCATCAATAAGTAGTAAATATGGATGAGCAACAAATACTGATCACGAAAATAGACAAGAAGTCATCCTGGTTTGACGCTCGTATTAAAATATGTATTTATACGTTGATCTGGGGATGTTCTCTTGAAATGCTGAACATATCAGAAACGCAGTACGTATATTCGTACCTTAAGGTTCACAATTCACCAACTAATCATACATCTGTAGAACAATATAATAATTCGATAAAAGAGATGAGTTGCAGTGAAAATTTGACGTCTGTAACAGATGATTACATTCAGGGATTAGCATCGGACTGGACTTGGTATATGCAACTTGTGATTTACAGTTTTGGATTGCTTGTTATGTCTGTTTTGGGACCTTTGTCGGATAAAGTAGGTCGGAAACCAGTTCTTATTTTCACTGTCTCTCTCTTTGCTATAACATTCGCATTGCGAACATATGCTGTGTATGCAAAACTGAATCTATACTGGTACCTGCTATTTTGCGTAGTGGAGGGTTTAGCTGGTTGCCATTATACATATGATGTTATTTGTCTTTCAATATTAAGCACATGCGCAAAACAAAATGAATCTAAACCATTTGATATAGCATTATTTGATACCATGATGGTAATTGGCGTTTGTGCATCTGATATAGGGACTGGTTACCTGATCAAGATGACTGGATACACATACCCATTCCTTACAGGAACTGCGTTATTAGTTTTAATTCTTATTTCAATCATCATCACACTAAAGGAAAACTCTAAATTACCAAATAAACAGAATCCTGTAAACATGTCGTCTTCATTTATTGACGTATGTTCACTTTGCAGAAAGACGAATACATTAATGAATTCTACTAGACAATTATTTCTGATGTATATACTTGTATACTTTACAAATGAATTTCCTTATATGGCAAACGGAAATATAAGAACGTTATATGAGCTTGGAGCTCCTCTTTGCTGGACCTCTGTCAAAGTGGGATGGTATACAGCTGCAGCATATTTTTGTGAATTTGTCATTGGAATCTTGATTCTTAAAACTTTCCTTCTTTGTATGAAGGACCATACAATAGCCTTTTTGGGATTCACTTCTTCAGTATCGTGTTACATTGTGTTTGGATTCTCATCAAACGATTGGATGATTTATCTGGGTAATTTCTTAAATTGTGTCATTTGTCACTAAGAATTCTGATTTATATATACATCAGATACTGCTTATAAGCATATAGTAGAATATCAGTTTCACGTTTGTGTTTCTTCATTTTATATATATTTTTTTATGGTTATAGATTGGCCTGTTTCTTGACCATTCCTAAACATGTTTTCCTTTTGGACATTTTACAAATGTATTGCTGTGAATAAGTGTTTGCCACATACTAACATATCAGTGTCCTGACAATCATTACTATGGCAGTGTTCAGAAAACAAATCTGTTTGTAAAGAAATTATTTGTCGATAGAGAGAAAAGCAACAAGAAAGGGACTTTTAGCAAGTCTTACTTATAATATGTAGCGATGTCCGTGGTTTTACATTGTTTGTTTGTGTGAACAAACGAAAATTTCATTGATTAACAATAAGAATGGCGTTATATATATAATACCCATCCTCTTATTCTGTTTGTAGCTTACTCAATGATTTCCATTTCAGCTTCTGCCATTGGTGTCATCAGAATTTTACCAATACCGATAATAAAGGCAATCCTTTCTCGAATGGTCCTTTCAGACAAACAAGGTAACAACTTTTCAAAATATTTCAATGATGCATACAATTGCAGCAAATAAAATAAAGTGAAGTATAGTTTTTACAAACTCAAATTTTATGCTTGAATTGTATATATTGCGTTGCATACAACATATATCATTAAACAGGACAAAACAAAAGAAATATAAAACACTAAAAAGCAAATAAAGTCAGTTTTAAAGGTGTATCTCTCCATTTGTTGTTCAGTTTTTAACTATGATATTGTTCGAAAGAACAAAGCAAACAAAGAATACAAACTAATTATCAACTCTTGTGGAATAGTCTGTTTTGTGGTTTTTCAGATACTACGCAAAGAAATAAAAGATGCACTTTAATTCAGAAAAAAGGATTTCACTGTTAATCAAAGTTCTGAATAAAAGCATTTTCAAAAGTGTTTCCTTCCATTAGTTATGCAGTATATAGATAATTATGTTGTACTTAGGAAGAATAAATGAGATAAATTATAAACATGGATGATGGGGGAACAACAAAAGTCAAATAAGTAGTTCATACATGTATAACAGTTCTTCTTTAAGGGAATTTATTTTAAACTCAATGTCGTAATTATTTTCCCCGGAACTTTGTCAAATTTACTATCTACTACACCTTTTTTGTTGGCGTCTTTGCTACATTAATATGTATGCTGGTTTGAATTTTTTAGCCAAATTTGTTGTATGCCTGTGATGTATGTTTAAACAGTTAACGGAACTATAAACAACTGTCACACAAGTGGGAGGTTTAGCTAGCTATAAACCATAGTTTTCTTTTGAAAATGCCTGTACCAAGTCAGGAATGTGGCAATTATTTTTCATTTGTTCTGTTGATTCATAGCGTTTGATTTTGTCAGTTTTTATGAAAGTCCCCTTTTTGAATTTGCCTAGGAGTTCGGTATTTTTGTTATACGTTTTTTAATGGAAACAAGTTATTATTTTTCCATTCCCTTCTTAAACAAATCATTTTTTTTCAAGAAGTTTGGAATCAAACGAATTATTAAAAAAAACAACTAATCCTCCATCATAAAAGATGAATGTTCGGAACTAACTTTTCATTCTAAGAAGACAGATCTACTTGCTTTGTTTACATCCCTGTTTTTTTATTACAGGAGCACTTTTTGCTAATATATATTTACTAGAAGCTGTGTGTCGACTTGGTGGTTCGACATTATTTAACAATATATATCACCACACTCGTCCGATATTTAAAGGAATGGTATTCTTTGTTATGGCTTGTTTTCCATTGTGTGCCGGTATCCTCTTAATGTGAGTAAATTTTAACTAGTGATGTATTCAATACAAAATATATTCACACTTCAGTAAGACATTCAAAGGAGAAACACCATATTTAGTATAAAAACCCCTGTAAGCATGATTTTTTCTGTGGGAACACAAAAACTCAAACATCATTTTACCCATTACTATCCATAAAATATACTATACAAAATATGAATATGAAAAAGGATGCAGGCATGTCAAAAAATAAATATATTGATTGTAAAACGTTATGCAGTGTGTGAAGTAACTATATGATTAAACACAATATTTCGAGAGGTCCCTGGTGTGTAAACTGGTCCGATTCACACACAAACTGAACTATTATGTACAGTTTGCGAGTCAGCGGCCCAGTTTACTCACCAATAACCTGTAGAAAAAAAGTATTTAGTCCTTGTCATTCTCAACCCAAGTATTCATTATTTATTTATTTCAGTTTCAATTTTTTTGCAACCCCAGGATTCCATCTTGTGTATCGCGGATGAATATATCACAGTGTTAAAAGAAAGGCGAAGAATACCAAAGGGACCTTCAAACTCATAAGTCGAAAATAAATTGACAACGCCATGGCTAACATATGTTACGAAAGTGGTTTCGACAACATGGTTTATCGAAGTGAAAAATCAAATGGGCAAATCGCAGATATGCAAATCATATACGAATTATATAAATATGAACCACATTCTTTAAATTAGTCCTAAGATGTTTTCAACAATGGGATACATCCATATTGGCTATTTGTGACCTAAATTGGGTTCATCAATCAGTAAATTTTGAGATATCTTATCATTTTTTCAATACCTAGTTTTGCCATTCAGTTGAACGATGGGTTTATGAAGTGAATTTCTTGTCTCTTTGTTGCCTATTTACATTATCTTATAATTTACACTGATAAACATTATTAAGTTATTTCGCTTTGAATGTTTTGGTAACTTTTTACCTAGTTCATGTTTACCTACGATATGTACGAAAAAATGGAGTAGAACGTACAATTATTTAATTGCTGCAAATTTGTTTTTAATAAATTGGGTATATTTATTATGTCACTTGACGTATCACGATATATTCATTTACCTTTCAGGTGCATGACATGCAAAAACACTCAATCAGATAAAATCGAGATTAAAGTTGAAGACCCAACAGTTCAAAACAGGAAAGAAAATTGCCGTTGTGAAGAAAATCTCAAGAAAGCACAGAAAGAAGATACAAATGTTATCGCAAAAAACTAAGCAAGAAGTGATACAATCTATAAAAACATATACTAGAACAACATATACTTATTATATTATTAAACATTAATGTAAAATGAATAAAAGAAGATGTGGACATATGATATTAACAAGAGAAATGTGTCTATACAACATGTCAAGGTCTAGATGGCCTGGATCAAAGATCCATCTTCACAACCTATGACTCAGTTCTATGTGTAATAAATTCCCTGAAGGTGTTTTAACATAGACGAGATAACAGACGCAGGCAGTACATTTGGCGGGTTTCCTTTTTTGCCAAGACCGAACCATCCATTTTTTTCTATAATACCGGTATATATAAGAAATAACAAAATACATAAGGCAAAACATAATTATCATTATCTCCAATTAATTTAAATATTGAATTTGCTTTTTTCTATGAAGTTCGAGAGTCTTAACGGTATCAATATGACATAATATGGATATGAGTACAAGGGAATATAAAAAAAATTCCAGAATGTATGAATTCCTTATGGAATAAAAATCCACACCGATGAAAGGACATTTGTTAAGTACGAAATATTTGTGTATCTATACAAAAATACAACTATATAATTTCATGCTCGAACCAAAAAGCCAAAAAGGTCAAATAAAGTACGAAACAGAAGAGCACCGAGGACCCAAAATTCCGAAAGGTTTTGCCAAATACAGCTAAGGTAATCTATTCCTGGGGGTAGACAATCCTTAGTATACAGACCATAATATGAAGAAAAAACCCAAGAAGTTTAAGAAAACGAACGAAAGTGTCTTTTTGCCTCTTTTGCAGCCTTCACAGTTAAACTTTCTATGCAATCTTTTCAATCTTTATAACAAAATGACATTTAAGGATTTCTCGTTACTGTTACAAACCGCCACATTATTACATATCCAGTGTATTATTAACTGCATAACAATCCGAAATACCACCCAATTACGTATACGTCCGATCTTAAATATTTTCACAACACATGCACGGGGTATGAAATATATCAAGAAATAAACTGTTACTGTGTCAAATATACTCAGTTTATTTATCTTATCTGAATCAACAGGGGGAATGTAAATAATTTGATAGGATAACAGTTCTAGATTCACACAGTCAGAAGTAACCTTTGATTGTTTTTAACGTGACGATAGAATTAAATAAAAAATGAACGAAAATAGGCCGCTCTTGAAAAATAAGCAATCGGAACAAAGTACTTCTGGTTGGTACAATAACCAATTTAAAATAAGTCTTTTTGGATTAATATATGGATGCGCCATTGAAATGCGAAGTATAACTGAAACACAGTTTGTGTACGCTTATTTGAAAAATCACACGGACATAAATAACACTGTTTTGGAAATGAGTGGCAATAAGTCAAAAGATGATGAAAAATGCCTGGACAATACAACCAATACTGGTGACAATTATATACAGGGGTTGGCCACATATTGGACGTGGTATATTACACTTGTTATATATGGCATTGGACTTCCGGTTCTAGCTTTGATAGGACCATTATCCGATAAACTCGGACGGAAACCAATTATATTGTTTAATTTAGGACTAACTGCGATATCATTTTCCGTCCGTACTTATATAGTTTATGCAAATCTTAATTTATATTGGTATTTACTGATGTGTTGCATAGAAGGTTTCTCTGGGAGTCACTATGCATATCATTTTGCATGTTGCTCTACATTGGCAAACTGTACGAAAGCCGGTAAACAGCGACCGTTTGCATTTGCACTTTATGAATCTATGCTAGGATTAGGACTTTGTATTTCTGAAATAGGAACAGGATATCTAATTAAAAGTGTAGGTTTTACATATCCATATTTAATATCTACTGGTTTGAATATTATTGTGTTCATATCGTTTTGTACTTTTCAAGAGGAAAACATTGAGAAAGAAAAAACACATACAATTTCTTCTGCAAAAACAACAGGAGTGTATACTTTCTGCACAAACAAGAAATCCCTTTCAACAAACGTTAGTTTGAAGTTTTTTTCCATAACCATTTTAATTTTTTTCATTTACCATTTTCCCATTTCTTCGTTCAGCTCCATTCGGACACTATATACATTAGGACTACCTTTCTGTTGGTCTTCGGTACATATAGGATGGTATGCTGCTGGAGTAGATGTCATTCAGTACGTGTTAGGTGTTTTGATCCTAAGATGTCTTCTGATTGTAATTAAAGACGAGACGATAACGATTATAGGTTTTGTTTCTAACATTGCTTTTTTGGTAATGTTCGGAATGTTAGCAGCTGATTGGTTTATATATACAGGTAAGACGCTTATATTATCGCATGAAATATAATCAGTTCTAATTATTAATGATTAAAGAAGACATATCAACCAGTGGTTGTTTTTGTTTATATTTAAAGTCATATGAAACGAGTTTCTTGTAATTTTAATGTTATCGAAATTATTGAACAAATGAATGCATATGAACTAAACTAAGTCCTGTATGCACGTTTTTTTAATATTTATTACGAATCTTTAACGCATCATCGACAAATAATATTTCATTCAGTGATTGCTGATCGCAAGCTTATTAAAAAATGAAAACACGTTAAATAATTTCATTCGTCCGAAGCGCTTTCCTGGATCTATCTTCATCAGGAATGCTCAAAGCCGGATATTTGAAAGCCGAGAATGTATAAAAACCGAAACAGTATTAACTTACGAGTTTGTTGCCGAAGTTTTCCGGATCGTGACATTGATAAGCAGTTGCATATTGAGAACGTGACAAATAAGCGATTTAATAGAGCCATGATATATATTTTTTATATTTCAATGCGTCCCCATTTGTTAATTAAACTTGTCCTTAACAGTTATCAAATGATTTGTTGTATTAAATTTGTTCTTTCAGAACCAGTTATTACTATTAAGTATTTACCTTCCAGTGCACGTGCGTTTACATTCTTTCATCACTGTTTTCCCCTCGCACTTGAGCGCACTGTGTGGTGGCCGAAGCTCTAACAAGATGTCTCGTAGTTACTTTTAAGGTCACTGCATGCGGGAAAATATCGGCGAATTAGAGTACGGGAAGACAATAATTCAATAGCAGTACATTTATGAAGATTTAAATAATATAATGGATTTTCTGTTAAAAGAAAGTACACGTACACTCGTTTTATAGTAAAACTTAGCCATTCGAAATGATAAGGGTAAAGCTTGAAGGAAAAAAAATGAGATTATATACAGTCCGCCAAAAGTTAAGCACCACCTAAATATAACTGGCAATATTTTTTTAACTATTGCGAAAAAAATATTTATGTTTGGTGTTATGAATTGCCTATAACATACACTAAGAAAATTCATTACGACCAACAACAAAAAATTCGATCAACACGCCAAGCAAATTTTTATTAAAGGTCATCTGCACTTTTTCGAATACACTGTTTCGATGCCTTTAAATCATCTTCCTACTGCCCCGCGTACAGGTGAAATTTTACCTTCACCAAGTCACTGTGAAATATGGCAAGGGGTAAGTTATATGTGACTGAACCTTGACAAGCAATTGACATGTCAAATGCCGGTAGGAGCACTAGTTGCATAGGTAACCATTTCAATGTTAAACACACCGTCATTGTCAGATTTTTACAACATCATGTTGACACAGGAACTGTAAATGATAGACCAAGGTCCGGAAGACCCCGTTTAAATACCGATCGTGATGACAGACTCCTTATTGGTCACGCTTAAGCCAACCCATTTACTCCTGCCCCACAACGTAGACACCACTGGCGTCAAGGTGGTCATGTTAGTGTTCGAACATTGGTCCGTCGACTTCATAGAGGCTACCTAAGAGCACGTCGTGTTGTCAAGAGACCTGCCCTAACAGCCAGGCACCGTATAATCAGGTTTCAAAGGGCTAATGACCATCGACGCTGGAACATGAGAAGCTGGCAAAATGTTCATTGGTCAAATGAGAGTCAGTTTCTGGTACTACCAATAGACGACAGAATACGAGTTTGCCGTGGAAATAAAACTGCTAATGACCAAAACAACATTTGCCCATCGACTGCATACGTTGCTGGTGGTGTTACAGTATGGGGTTTCTTATCATACTGTTGTAAGGTGGGTATGCATATTCTGCAGGGTAACATGAACGGACAGACATACAGGGATTTGGTGCTTAGAAACATTGTAGTCCCTCATTTTGATAATCCTCCACTTGCTTCAAGACCCTTGTGCATGTACGACAATGCTAGACCACACAGGGCAACGATTGTAACCGAGTACAAAGAGTACAATGAGCAAGAAGCCATTGACACTATCTTTTGGCTTTCCATGTCTCCAGACATGAACCCTATCGAACATGTCTTGGATGCCATTGGCAGAAATCTAAATCACAGAGATCCACCTTTGCAAAATCTTAGCGATTTAAGAAGCGCAATTGTTGCTGAATGGAATAAATTTGCTCAACTAAAGTTCAGAAGGCTTGTACAGAGTATGAGACTCCGTGTTATGGAACTGTACCGGAAGAGAGGGTGTTACACATCCTATTGACTCAAATATTGACATTAAATTTGCCAAACATACCAAAGATTATTTGTAGAGACTTTTAATGATATTGGGTGATTAATTGTTGTAAAAAAATAAAATCACAGTGAAACTTAAATTCCGTTTCTGATTTGTGTAATTTTCACTATTTCTATGAACGCAAATTTCAAATGCATAGAACCTGCATACGTGAACAAACTTAAGTCTGCGGTTTGTTTATGGTATATTTTAGCAAAATTGCTACATGAATATTTGCTCTTTTTCGAGGATTAACTGATTTTTTTAAATGAAAAAGATTTCGATGCAATAAAAATAGGTGGTGCTTAACTTTTGGCGGACTGTATATATGAATCGATCGAACCAAGGATTTATATACTATATAAATTCTTGATCGAACTATGTCGATCCTGAAAAACCTAAGTATCATCTTCACTTTTTCTTCTCATTCTAATTATTCGTTTTAATTCTGCATTTCTGATATATTGATTTGATAATGTTTTAATTGTGACCATTGTATTTTCATTTTTAGCTACAGCTATTGGAGTAATTAGAATTTTACCAAATCCTCTGTTGAAATCATTTTTGTCCAGAAT